AACCAGCGACCTTCTTGCTGTGAGGCGACAGCACTACCTATTGCGCCACTACTTCACCTGTATTAATCTTTATCAGCTTAAATTTTTATTGTTCACTGTTCTGTGTCATCCTTAAGCCACCAGGCAGTGGTGAGCCCAGTTATCTTTCGTTGCTGCTTGCAGCTTTAATGTTTTGTTGGTTTTTTGTTTAATAATTTGAAAAGTTTCTAATCCATTCAGATCCATTGATGCAACTAATAATACATCTGTGCTGGTTGTCTAGTTGCATTCCCAAGTTTTGCCAATGCAATTGCACAACAATTTGTATTGATTTATTGGCAATTTTTTTTATTAATTTGAATGATCTCATTTGTACAGTTAAGTACAATTTGTTCATCCCTCAATAAAGGGTAGGGTCAGGGGTGGGGTTTAGAGTCATGTATCTACTTAAAAATCATACAATTTCATAAGGATGAAGTGATTATGTACAAACTAGTAACCTTTCTATGAATACAAAAAAAGTATGATTCCTTAGTGCTAATTCATTGCTGGACTCCATAAAATCATTTTTTTTTTTATCAACAAACTTGTAGTCATTTCTATAATACTTGTTTTTATAAAATTGTCGATCAGTTTTTATTATTGTAGTTGAAAAAAAGCCCCCTTAGTGACAAGTGATGCAAATTCAATTTGCCAACAAGCATTATGGCACATGCATAGTGTGTCTTTCATTTCAGTTTAATATATGTTTATTGTGTCTGCTTATAACAAATAAAGCATTAAAATAAGCAAATAAAATAACACAGCTTAATTATTCACCATTGTTGTTTCTACCAGTTATTAAAGTATGTGCGCAGGGTTGTTTCTTCTTCTGGTTATGTGGTACAGTGATGTCTTAATTTTTAAAAAGTGGTGTTTTGCCTATCCACACGTAATGGGTGGTATTTTGAGTTTTTCCCACTAGGCAACCCATTATCCAAAAAGTTTGTTTCAGGGCATCTACAAAGCCATTGTTTTGTGGACAAAAGTCAGAAACTTTTTCAGATTGACCTAAATCTGTTGCAGTGTGAACAGGGCCTAAATCAGGCCATGTCTTCCCAATTGTTGGGGGTGCATCAAAATCTTTGATTATGGCCAGCCTTAGTCTTGCTTTGAGTTTACCTCACATTTTCTAAAATAGGTTAAATGAGAAGCTTCTATTGATCGTTTACAGCATGGACCCACAACCCGTTTTGCACAGCTGAATCTAGGTGGTACTTGGAGGACAGCAAAAGGCTTTTAAATAGGACATCGAACAATCAATGATGGAAAATATGATGTGTCACAAACATAAAGTAAAGAATACTTCACTCTTCAGAGGAATTTAGTCAATTGAACTGAGCAAAACACTTTTTTGTGACTGGGAGAGACAGAAAGAGGTTGCTTATACACATAACTGTCTGCTAAAAAGAAGACAGCAAGGAAAATGAGTCGGAATATAGATAAGCATTATAAAACATGACTCTATTGGTTCATTTTCAGATTTCAATTAGACTAACTTCACTAGGTCCATTCATTAGTGTGGAAGTTCCTTTGTGTTTGCTGCACCCAGTAACCTTCGCATAACTCACATTTTCTTAACGTTTTCTGGCATGAGCTGCCTGATTTCTTGAAAAATATTCTATTGTTCATAAATGATAAAAGAAGATTAAGCCAAAGCTCTTAATTATAGACTTCACTGTGTATCATCGCAGTAAATAATAAGCTAGATGTTCTATTGATGAGCACTTAAACAACCTTGACTGCTACTCTGCTGGGTTAATTTAATTATTTTCTTTGCAGTGCAATTCAATTTCTCACATTGGTTTATAAATAAAGTGCACACGCTTTCATATGGCATCTCAGTGCTTGTTCTTTAAGGTGTATTTGCCACTCTTTGCACTTGCTTTACCTGTGCATTACAGACAGGGGAAGTATTTTGCAATTACGTTGTTTTTGAAGGTCACTGAAGTTTTGCAGCTGTGGTTTTCTTATAGTTTGCTACACCATGTCACCTCTCTTTGCTTCATAGAGAAATTGCATCATATGCTCTAAATATATTGCCTGAATTTGTGCTCTGCTTTTACTACCTGTGGAATGGAAAAGTCTAGCTTTATTTTGCATTTTTATGCATGGAAGTCCTTCTGTGTTAAACTCATGGCAGTGCTGTCTTAAAGAGTGTATTTAAAGTGACCCCTGTTGGTCAAACAAAAGAACTGCACTTATCTGGATCCTTATAAAACACATCTGTTAAATAACATGCTGGTATGAGAATTGAACTGGGTCTGTGGCCTTCAACAGCTATCACAACAGAAGATGCACTTAACTTCAGTTTCAAGGGAACTTGGAAGTCACTAATTGCTCTGCTACTCACCATGACCACTCCTGGCTTCACGGCATTGGTGTTAGTCTTTCTACACCTCCACCGCCGGTGACATTTTTAGTGGAAACAACTATTTATATCCATTTTTCCAGCCTCGGTCAATTAACAGAGCCAATCTCTGCGAGGGCCACAGAGGACAAGACTGGCGCCCAGAGAGATGGGTGTTAGTGAGTTTCTCCTGAGGCTTCACACCACAGATTGTTCCCAACACCCAATGCAGAATTTAGAACACTCTAGCTGCTTGAACCAGGATGACTTGTGTCATCTAAAGTCAACTGTCAATCATCGATGCTCTGTGTATGCTGCAATCTATTTACACCAAGTGTGCTGTCATGTTTGTTTAACCCCTCTGGATTTACTTGCCTGCTCAGAGCAGAAGTCAAACACATGTTTCCAGCACAGGAGGGGGTAGGTGTGCTAACAAGGATGCTAAAGACTGGAGCCTCTAGTGTCAGTTGTTAGTGCATCTCTGCAGGTCAAAGGGGATTTTGAGCTGTATCCAAAATCACATACAGTACTACTCGTGTAGGTACAACATTTAAATTTAAATTTACTTCTCGACTGTTAGAAAAGAATGTTCTATAAGATATGAATATTAGTATAGGAATTCAGATATTGATACTGTAAGCCATTATCAAATTACCTATTATGTAGCTTCACTCAATTCTTGAATTATCTTCCATGGCATCATGGGATAGTGTAGCATCCATTGGATGTGCACTACAGAATCTTGCCAGAAGAAGTAGTCATTTAGGTGCACCAACTGGAGGATGGAGAGGAGACTGTGATGAATAGAGCCCAGAGGGGAAATTTGGCTAGGACACCAGAGTCAAAGGAAAGCCTGCACTTACTGAGCAGTATAGAGTCCCCATCTTTAGGTAAGGATCCACAGTACATTGAACTCCCCTTGCAGGTCTCAAAAACACCACTTCTGGCAGCAACTTAGCTCTAACATGTGGTCTCCTATCCAGGTACTGACCGGGCTCAGCCCTGCTTAGCTTCAGTGGGTGACCATGTGAGAGTTTCATAGAGCTAGCTGCTGGCTAGAAAACTACCTGCCGGAGATATGCTTTACTCGCATACTGTTTTTCACAAACTTTATAGTAGGGAAGTATGCTGATGCAGGTTAGTGGTTCACTAGTATAACATACTAGCATCTACTAAAGTAGCTGACACTCAGTCCCTAAACCATTCTAACTTTATTTTCCCTGTCACACCTCTGCACTTCACTCTCATTCGTGCCAAAGCACCAGAGCAGCCCCTCTTCTACCCATACCATTTGTGAACCTTATTCCTATCTGGGTTATGACAACAATGTAAGCCCTCAGGTTCTATCTGTTTCTCTTTTAAATCTCAGTGGGTTTTCCTTGCTGATAAATGTTCACGGTTGACCAATAGTTATTTTTACCATTAATCAACTAATCAAACATTCATTAATAAACCACTTAAATCATAGTAATGATATTTTAAGCACTGAAGTGCACACTTAAGGGGGGTACACCCCAGAAGCACCTCTCGGCTACTCACTGCATTGCGCCAGACATTTCAGAATTCTAACATGGGTTTCTATTAGGGTACACACACCGGTGTCGCAAGTCTGGGGCTGTTTGTGGTGCCCAGACATGACTCAGGACACTGTTCATATTGTTGTTCATATTTAATAACATGTGAATGTGCGCATCTGGTGTGCAATACTTTCAACTGTCATGTGTGCGCTGTGTAGTAGCACCAAGCTGCGCATCCGGTGTGCGACCTGCTTTACTGTAAAGCTTGCCTGGCTGGAGTAATGATTGTGAATGTGTAAAAGTAAACACATGGAGGCAGCATTAACATTTAAATATTATATTGGTGCACTTCTGCTTGTTTAATGAGATAAAGTGAAAAACTCAACCATCATCTTCACAATAATGGGTGCACCTTCATGTGTCAAATCGATATGAGAATATCTGTTTTCCATTTGAATTGATTTCAGCTTAACCTTTGAAAGTTTAGACAGATTCCTAATAACCAGTTTATTTTTTTATTATTCCATTTATTTTGTATCACCATATCAAAAGAAGTTTATCATTTCTGTAGCTGATTGTAACAAAATACTTCTGTTTGACCAAAATATACGGAAAAGACAAACAGTAGGGAGTAATTCCTGTTATACTGTAGCACTACCGAGCCGTGACCCAAAAACCCAGGTATTTACCGAACTGTAACTTCTGTGCACCTTTACACTCCTAATATATACAATTTCTGTGAATCAAGTAGACTAAACACAGAAGTTTTCATTCTTATTTACTTATTGACACACTCAAGTTCACAAAGGCATAGACTGCATATTCACAGACTGTTTGCTTTATTTTTCAGAAGTGCTATGTTTTGTTGTTATTACTATTGAGCACAAATAAAGTCTTTGCAGATCTGAAAGCATTACTGCTTTACTATTATCTTTAGGACCAAAAATTATGGTGTACTTAAAGAGCAAAATTGCTACTGTGCTATCTGTCATGCAGTGAACTCTACTGTTCAGCTTCCTGTCTCCGCTCAGACACTTGAACCGTGCATTTTTTTTCAGTTAATGATTAAATTGAGTGGCCATCTAAAGCTGCTATCTGAGGTTGATGAATGGTAGTGTGCTGGTTCCAGTGTAATACCCTTTTGATCCACTAGGTGGTAGTGTTCTGTTAATTTTATCATTATATTAAGAAGTGACCTTTCACCTAAACACCAGCCATTTTGAAACATTCAGTCGATGCTGACAGCCACACGGTCTCTCAGACCTTCATCTGTCTATTCATTTTGTATTTCCTAATAGAAGCTTTGTCTGTAAGTACCAAAATATTTTATAAGGATTTTGTGTGCATTACATATTAATATTGGGGACATATTTCATGCTAAACTTTTCTTAGTAAGATTGCTTTAGATCAGCAGTTCATGCATCCACATCATTATAGTGATATTGTATGTGCGTTTCATTCGATTGTACAGTAATATTTCTCAAATTCTTATTTTGTAATGTTTGTTTTCTCTCTGTATTTCAGTTTTACTCTGTTCCACATACATTTGAAGTGGTGGTCACAATAAATCCATATTCAGTTCAGTATCTCAGTGGAAGGAGTTGTCTATCTGTCTAGTTGAAGAAGGGGAACTCTTTTACGAGGGCAGAATAGTAAAAAGACAAATACTGATCGACACATTAATGAATAGAAGATCAAGTTCAGCATTCATTTCAGAATGTCTTCATCTGAGAAACATAGTCTAAGAACAAGATCGGCATGTACTCGATCATCAAGACACTCAAGCAAGTCTGCAGCAAGTGCAGCAGCATTGGAGGCCCGTGCGAAGGCAGAAGCTGCACTAACTAGAGCCACATATGCACAAAAAGAGATAGAAGTGAAAGTAAAGCAAGCTCAAGTACAAGCTCAGCTTAAAGTGGAGGAGGCTCGTCTAGAGGCTACACTAAATGCACTACAACAAGAAAGAGAGGCAGAAGCAGCTGCAGCTGAGGCATCAGTGTTTGAGGCTGCAGCAGATATAAGGGGTACAGATCAACTCTCTGATAATCAAGACCCACATTCTTCACACAATTCTCTGCAAAGAACTAAAGAATATGTTGAAGACCAGCAAAAATATAAAGAAAGTTACATGCCAGAGTTTGCAGAAACCACTGAACAGAAGCTAGTAGCTTCTAATCTGGTTGATGTTCAACAGCCTCAACCTATCGAGCAAGATAATTCATTTCAAAGTCTGCCAGCAAGACAGTCAGCAATTAAAATTGTCACTAATGCTGCTACCCCTCTTATCCCTACCACTCAGGCTGGAGCGATCAAAAAAGAAGGTGCAAACACATCATTGTTTAAATCAGCAGTGCCGGATGCACTACCTCCAAGACACAACGCTTCACTCACAAGCCCCCCACACTCACATTGCAATGAGCACTATAATGCTCGCTCAGAAGTGTTTGAGCTTGCAAAGTTTCTAGCTCGACGTGATCTTCTGACAGGTGGGCTTTCAAGATTTAATGACAAGCCAGAGAACTATTGGGCATGGAAGTCCAGCTTTTGCAATGCTATTGAAGGACTTGATCTTAAACCTAGTGAGGAACTAGACCTACTTGTTCAGTGGCTGGGTCCAGAATCGACTGAACATGCAAGACGCATTAGGTCAGTTCATATTAGTTATCCTGATGTTGGGCTCAGCATGGTCTGGAAACGGCTAGAGGATTGCTATGGTTCAGCCGAAGCTATGGAGGCAGCGCTCTTTAACAAGCTTGAATGTTTCCCTAAGCTGTCAAACAAGGATCATCAACGTCTCAGAGAGCTGGGAGACCTACTCCTTGAATTAAAGATAGCCAAAGCTGAAGGTTATCTGCCAGGCCTGACCTTCTTGGATACTTCAAGAGGCATCAGCTCCATCCTAGAGAAACTGCCATTTAATTTGCAAGAAAAATGGATGTTGCAAGGAACTCGTTACAAACAGGAGTATGGAGTTAGTTTTCCTCCTTTTTCATTCTTTTGTGATTTCATTTGTGGTGAGGCCCGCATGAGAAATGATCACAGCTTTAAACTGACTACACAAAATGTGTCATTATCCAGATTTGAAAAATATCCAAAGGCAATCAGAGCTCCTGTTACTGTCCACAAAACAGAAATTGACAATGCCACTCAAAGAAATGAATTTAATAGGACAAATGATAACCTCAACAGACAATGTCCTATTCATAAAAAGCCACATCCCCTCAGAAAGTGTAGAGGTTTCAGGGAGAAGACCTTGCTGGACAGGAAAGCTTTCCTCAGAGAGAACTCCATTTGCTTTAAATGCTGTTCCTCGACTACCCACCAGGCAAAGGATTGTAAGGCAGTAATCCAGTGCTCTGAATGCAACAGTGACAAGCACATAGCCGCCCTACACAATGGTCCAGCCCCCTGGTTAGAAAAAAAGGATACAGAACCTTCAGCAGATTATGGCGGGGAGCAGGAAGAATTTCTTTCCCCAGTTGCAACATCTTCCTGTACAAAAGTATGTGGGGATCCAAATAGCAGAAAGTCATGTTCAAAGATCTGCTTGGTAAATGTATATCCAGAAGGTGAGCCTCATAACAAAAGGAAGGTTTACGCAGTCATAGATGATCAGAGTAATAGGTCTCTGGCGAGATCAGCTTTTTTTGAGATGTTTAAAGTTGAAGACAACACAGCACCTTACATGCTCAGAACATGTGCGGGCATTGCAAAGACTGAAGGACGAAGAGCTGATGGATTTATAGTAGAATCCTTCGATGGAAAGACATCTCTTGCTCTTCCATCACTGATAGAATGTAATCTCATCCCAAACAACAGATCAGAGATTCCTACTCCAGAGGCAGCACAATACCATAGTCATTTAAGATCGGTAGCCTCAAAAATTCCAAGTCTAGATCCAAAGGCCAAAATTCTGCTTCTGCTCGGGAGAGATCTCATTCAGGTACATAAAGTGGAGGAACAATGTAATGGACCACTACATGCTCCCTTTGCCCAGAGGCTGGCCCTTGGGTGGGTGATAGTTGGAGATATCTGCCTAAACGGAGCCCACAAACCTGCTACAGTGGATGTTTTTAAGACTCACATCTTAGCAAATGGACGCCCCAGCTACATGAGTCCCTGTCCAAACAGCATGTTTGTGAAGGACTATTTCAGTCTGCACAATGAGCCAAAACCTTCATTGAACCCCAAGCAGAAAACCTTATCAGTATCTGAAGAATGCTCCATTGGAGAGTCAGTTTTTCGCTGCACAAAGAATGATGAAAAAACAGCTCCCTCCATGGATGACTTGGCATTCTTGAAGATTATGGAAGATCAATTCCATCAGGATGAATCCAATAGCTGGGTTGCCCCTCTACCATTCCGCAGCCCTCGGCAGCGCCTCCCGAACAATAAGGTTCAAGCCAACAATCGTCTTATGTTGCTGACACGCAAACTAAGAAAGCACCCAGAGGTAAAGGAGCACTTTGTGGATTTTATGGGCAAAATCTTTGAAAATGGCCATGCAGAGTTGGCACCACAGTTACAGGAAAATGAAGAGTGCTGGTATCTGCCCATGTTTGGGGTGTACCATCCTAAGAAACCTGGACAGATAAGAGTAGTGTTCGACTCCAGTGCACAACATCAAGGAGTGTCACTAAATGATGTTCTCCTCACTGGCCCTAATGCAAACAATAGCCTTTTAGGGGTATTACTGCGATTCAGGAAAGAACGAGTAGCAGTGATGGCTGATATCCAGCAAATGTTTCACTCATTTGTGGTAGCAAAAGAACATCGTAATTTCCTACGCTTTCTTTGGTATGCCAACAGTGACTTAAACAGTGAGGTGCGAGAGTATCGCATGCGAGTGCATGTTTTTGGTAACAGCCCATCTCCAGCAGTTGCCATATATGGACTCAGAAGAGCTGCTCTCACAGGCGAGCAAGACTATGGATTTGAGGCAAGGCACTTTGTGGAAAGAAACTTTTATGTGGATGATGGCCTTACCTCCTTCCCCACAGAAGAGGAAGCCATCAAACTGCTCAAAGACACTCAGGAAATGCTGGCCCAGTCTAATCTGCATCTTCACAAGATTGCTTCTAATAAAGTGGAAGTTATGAAAGCATTTCCTTCAGAGGATCTTGCAAAGGAGTTAAAGAACCTAGATCTGAATACTGGACTCTCATCAGTCCAAAGAAGTCTTGGAGTGAGTTGGGACATGAGTGAAGATGTGTTTATCTTTCAAGTTGCAGATCAGATGAGACCATACACTAGACGTGGGGTTCTGTCAACGATAAACAGTTTGTTCGACCCATTTGGGTTTGCTGCACCTGTTGTCATTCAAGGCAGACTTCTACTCAGAACACTAACCACAGAATCTTGTGACTGGGATGCACCTCTATCAAGTGAGAAATTCAAGGAATGGAAGATTTGGAGAGACTCGTTAAAGAAGCTTGAGCTTGTCAAAATCCCTCGCACATATGCCACCATCTCTCTTCATCAAGCGCAAAGAAGAGAAATGTGTGTCTTCTGTGATGCGTCCACAAATGCCATTGCAGCTGTCGCATACAGCAAAATTACCAGTATAAGTGGTAATGTAGAAGTTGGATTCATATTTGGCAAGGTTAAACTAGCTCCGCGACCAGAGATCTCTGTCCCTAGACTTGAACTGTGTGCAGCTGTTCTGGCTGTGGAAATAGCTGAAATTATTGCAGACGAAATTGACATCAAGCTGGATGTTGTGACATTCTATTCAGACAGCAAGGTTGTCTTAGGTTACATCTGTAATAGATCCAGGAAGTTTCACGTGTATGTGCACAACAGAGTGCAAAGGATTCAGAGGTCCACGCACCCTGAGCAGTGGAAATACGTCCCAACCGATCAAAACCCTGCTGACCAAGCCACAAGATCTGTTCCAGCAGCTGATCTTTCCCATAGCATGTGGTTGACTGGTCCCAGATTCTTGTTTAATACAACACAGGAAACATCTCACACAGGTCCCTTTGCCATGATACATCCAGATTTGGACATTGAAGTACGCTCCCAGGTTATTTCCTGTGCCACTCACACTTCAAAAAGAGACTTAGATCCCAAACGCTTTGAGAGATTCTCAAGCTGGCATACACTGGTTCGGGCAATAGCCAGACTTGTGCACATAACTCATTCTTTTCAGAAGGATAACGATAAAAGCACTTGTAGAGGCTGGCACATATGTGACAAACCCTGCTCAGTAGAAGACCTTGAAAGAGCGAAGTCCATCCTCATCCATAGTGTACAAGCAGAATGCTATTCAGAAGAGCTGAAATGCCTTAAGGGAGGCAGGGGCATTCCAAAACAAAGTCCTCTTTGCAATCTAACACCTTATGTAGACGAACTCGGCCTGCTCAGGGTTGGTGGCCGCCTCTCGCAAGCGAGCCTTGATAGAGATGAAGTGTGCCCAATAATTCTCCCCGGACAGTGTCACATCACATCTCTTCTCATTCAACATTATCACAAACAAGTTGAACATCAGGGACGGGCCTTTACTGAGGGTGCCTTAAGAGAGGCTGGCTTTTGGATCATAGGTGGCAAAAGGCGCATCAGTAGTGTGATTTTTCAGTGTGTAAAGTGCCGCAGACTGCGAGGAAAGTTTTTAACTCAAAGAATGTCTGACTTACCTCCTGAAAGGCTCAGCATAGACCCTCCATTCTCCTTTGTAGGGGTGGATATTTTTGGGCCTTGGATGGTCACCTCACGTCGAACTAGAGGAGGACAAGCAAACTCAAAACGCTGGGCAGTCTTGTTCACATGTATGAGCACAAGGGCTATACACATAGAAGTCATGGAATCAATGGATAGCTCCAGCTTTATAAACGCTCTCCGCCGTTTCTTTGCTGTTCGAGGTCCGGCAAAGCAGTTGAGGTCAGACTGCGGTACCAACTTTGTTGGAGCGTGCAAGGAGCTAAAGATGGAGGCAATTACAGATGACAGGAAGGTACAAGAATATCTGAGTAACAAGAGCTGCATTTGGATATTTAATCCTCCCCACTCATCCCACATGGGGGGAAGCTGGGAGCGTATGATCGGAGTCTCAAGACGCATCCTTGAATCTATGCTACAAGGAATCGCACTATCAAAGTTATCCCATGAGGTTTTGATCACCTTTATGGCGGAAGTCACAGCTATAGTTAACAACCGTCCACTAGTGCCTGTGTCTACGGATCCAGATGCTCCATTAATTCTTACCCCAGCAACTCTACTGACTCAGAAGTCTTCAGCAGTTCTTCCTCCGCCAGGAGAATTTGGTGAGAAGGATCTCTTTGTTCGTCAGTGGAGACAGGTTCAGAGCTTGGCCAATACATTCTGGAATCGTTGGAGGAAAGAATATCTTGCCACCTTACAAAACCGCAGAAAATGGCAAAATGAGAGCTCCAATCTACAAGTGGGAGATGTTGTGCTGTTAAAAGACAGCCATGCTAGGAGGAATGACTGGCCCATGGGAATTGTGATGGAAACATTTCCTGGGAGAGACGGGAGAGTAAGAAAGGTTGAGGTCAAGGTGGTAAAAGACGGAGTGTCCAAGACGTTTTTACGACCTATATCGAATGTTGTTTTACTGTTGTCTCCAAAGACTGAGTAAACATAATATGAATATCATTGATGGCGTCTTTCAGACACCAGACGGGGAGTGTGCTGGTTCCAGTGTAATACCCTTTTGATCCACTAGGTGGTAGTGTTCTGTTAATTTTATCATTATATTAAGAAGTGACCTTTCACCTAAACACCAGCCATTTTGAAACATTCAGTCGATGCTGACAGCCACACGGTCTCTCAGACCTTCATCTGTCTATTCATTTTGTATTTCCTAATAGAAGCTTTGTCTGTAAGTACCAAAATATTTTATAAGGATTTTGTGTGCATTACATATTAATATTGGGGACATATTTCATGCTAAACTTTTCTTAGTAAGATTGCTTTAGATCAGCAGTTCATGCATCCACATCATTATAGTGATATTGTATGTGCGTTTCATTCGATTGTACAGTAATATTTCTCAAATTCTTATTTTGTAATGTTTGTTTTCTCTCTGTATTTCAGTTTTACTCTGTTCCACATACATTTGAAGTGGTGGTCACAATAAATCCATATTCAGTTCAGTATCTCAGTGGAAGGAGTTGTCTATCTGTCTAGTTGAAGAAGGGGAACTCTTTTACGAGGGCAGAATAGGTAGGAAATTGCTTGCATGTCCTTCCTAATGTAAAGATCAGCCATTAACAATCTGTCCATCATGTTGAGTGATTTATTTAACCATATCCTGTAAATGTAGAAAATAAAATTTAAATAAATCTGCCACTAATACAATTTTGCTCAACCAATCCTCTTCTCATTGACTAATGGCTAGTTGACTATTCAGAAGTAGCCCTACAAATTTCACTCTCATTCCAGGTCACGAAATGTAATCCTTCCAGCTTACCCGTACCATCCATTATTGAACCAGAATAACTTGCATTAAAAGGTCTGTGTGCTACAAAGTGCACTAAAGACCACAGCATCTAGCATCATTTACTAGTGCATCTCATGGGGCCATGTAAATCCTCCAGATCTTCTCGCCCTGAATGAGATTTTAACCAGTGTTATTGGCATGGGAGGCAACATCAGTCTAACATCAGTCGCTAACACACATCTTGAGGCACGAGCAGCATGGTTTACTTGCACAGCTCATAATAGCTGGCCTCCTTTACATTTGCATGTTACAAAACACATTTCCTTTAGCAATGACTCATTGAAAGCATTCATCATCCAGTCTATGAGCATCTCAGTTTACTTGATGAATAGCAGATAGAGTAGAAAATATACATAGGGAGAGTGATTCAAGTGACAGTGTCAAGGTTTTCTGTCACTATAGAAATTTCCTTAGCCAAGAACATCCGCTGCACTCCCACACATGAGTGAGTGTTCCGAAGCTGTCCTTGTTGCATAGGCAGCTGTGGACACATTCATATATAGATTTTAAAGTATATCTGAGATCGATTTACCTTTTGATTGCATTTCAGAATGCATCACATAACCCCTATAAAACTCTGACTCCAGGGAGGCTTTTAAGACAATGACCTTACATGTCTTATTTGGCACAGTCTGTGCTGTTGATTGAAGGTGCCATGCAATAGTTTCAGTGAATCAGAGAAAGGGTGCTAATGCGTGGCAGAACACCCTGGAGCGTAAGTGTCCCTAGTGCTTTGCAGAGTGTCTGAAGAAGCAGGTCTCTGGCTGTTTATCCCCCAAAGCCCTTGTCTCATCAAATGCTGATGGAGTCAAAAAGTCCTTTAGCACAGGCAGATGGTGGTCATTAAAGCTATCATTACAGGCCTGTCTGACTGAAAGATGGTCTGTTGCTCACAATAGATACTTCAATCTTCATATTTCATCTTTTGAGAATTTTGTGAGAACACTGAGAAGTCTATAAGTCCCTTTATAATGTCTAATATCACAAAATTATATATATATGGTGTGACTTCAATTATTAGATATGAGCTTGAGTAAAATGATAGTTTTTGTTTTATTCTGTAAAGGTATCTATCTATCCATCTATATATCCATCAATCTATCTATCTATCTATCTATCTATCTATCTATCTATCTATCTATCTATCTATCTATCTATCTATCTATCTATCTATCTGTCTATCTGTCTGTCTGTCTGTCTGTCTGTCTGTCCGTCCGTCCGTCCGTCCGTCCGTCCGACCGTCCGTCCCTCCATCCATCCATCCATCCATCCATCCATCCATCAACATATCTATCTATCTATCTATCTATCTATCTATCTATCTATCTATCTATCTATCTATCTATCTATCTATCTGCACTTCCATCCATCCATCTATATATCCATCTATATATCCACCTATATATCCATCTATCTATCTATCTATCTATCTATCTATCTATCTATCTATCTATCTATCTATCTATCTATCTATCTATCTATCTATCTATCTATCTATCTATCTATCTATCTATCTATCTATCTGCACTTCCATCCATCCATCTATATATCCATCTATATATCCATCTATCTATCTATCTATCTATCTATCTATCTATCTATCTATCTATCTATCTATCTATCTATCTATCTATCTATCTATCTATCTATCTGTCTGTCTGTCTGTCTGTCTGTCTGTCTGTCTGTCTGTCTGTCTGTCTGTCTGTCTGTCTGTCTCTCTCTCTCTATCTATCTATCTATCTATCTACGCACTCATCCACCCATCTACATATCTATATCTCCTCTTCCATCCATCCATCTATAGTACATACCTATCTGTCCATCTACACATCCATCCATCCTTCCATCTATATACATGTCTATCCATCCATTTATCCATCTACACATCCATTCATCCATCAATCAACACATCCCCATCCATCTATTTATCTATCTGCAGATCCATCCATCTGTTCATCTAATATAAATGTTTTGATTAAATAAATTAACCAAACAGTATAATTAAAGAGCTTTGGATTTTTATCCAACATTTCTATAAGATGATGAGAAGTGAGAAACTTATTAGATATCTCTTATAAAAAAAAAAATACCAGAGTTGAATGCCAGACATGGGGGTGTCACACATCTCTCTCTTTCTCTCTCTCTCTCTCTCTCTCTCTCTCTCTCTCTCTCTCTCTCTCTATATATATATATATATATATATATATATATATATATATATATATATATATATATATATATATATATATATATGTATGTATATATATTTGGTTAACAGTTACCGTAGAGACACATTGATTTCCGCTTCGAGAGCCAGTTTATCTGCACTGTGAGATACAAGAAAGTCAGATGATGCATAAACATTATGTGCAAAGAAAGCTAATTTAATCTTTAAACTTTAAGGTTAACCTAATGATCTCTATTAGCCATGGATTCAAGTAAAGGCCTTTAGCCTCAATTATGGGATTAAATAATTCAATCGTATCCATAAAGCTGCGTAAATGAACAGAAGGACAATGATTAAAATCATGCTCATGTCACAGGTTGATAATGTTGGATGCGATGCCTTGCACTTGACTGACAGCTGGCATTTAGTTGGGAAGAATCAGCCGCGGAGAAAACCTTGAATGTTTGCAGGAAGCCCGAGTGAAACAAAGTGCAGTGGCCGAGCTGTTATTTATTTATTTATTATTTTTTTGCAACTATCCAAGAGTGCATTCAGAGTTGAGCCCTGGCCCTTTGTACTAATTAACCTGTCTAATGGGTTCAGCAAGTTCCCACTTCCACACTCGATGGAGTCCGTTCAGCGTTCTGTTATTTTAATAACACGCCAGGAGAGAGATATGGAGAACAGAATGCCAAAAGGTGGAAGGTCTCACTGGGTGTTTTAATATAGCTGTGAAGACCCGCAGCTCTGTGTTCCTCTCCACGCTTTTCCCACATCTCTCACTTCACCAACACCCAGAGCTGTTTGCGTGCTGTGCCTCTTAATTTTAAAAACATTAGCCATTAGCTCTGTTTTCAGGGCTCTACTGAGATGCAAGACTTGCTGAATGTTTATTTGTCACAGCAGAGGGCCAGACATGGATTTAAGGAATTATGGTTTGTGTGGTAGTATTTGCAAATTTTTATGAAATCTATTTATTCATTGAATATGTTTCTTTTTATTATTTGAATTGATGTCATTTAAATGGATTAGGAGTGTTGATTTATTTTTTCTTAAATAAAAAAAGTCATGGGAGTCTGAGCTTGTTAGTAAACTGGTTGATTTATTTCACCATGTGAGTTTGAATGATTACTGATCAATCTGTTTGTTTTCAGATGGCTTATAAATTTAATACAAAGGTCTTCTGGACCACTTTTTGGTGGTAAATTGAGTATCTTTGAGTTTGTTTTATTCTAATTAATATTTTAAATTTGTTTTTGATTTTGTTGTTTAATTTTAGTCAAAGTAACAGTTTTTGTAGCTTTTTTGTGTTTTAAATGTCTACTTATTTTAAGTTTATTTACTATCATTTACTAAATTATTATACTTGGGGTGCACTTACACTATGCTATCTGAACCATGGCCAGGCACATTTCCTGGTTTATTTGACAAGTGTGAGAGCTCCAAATCGGGCCCAAGTGCAGTTTCGTTGGCAGGCCCTGGCCCAGTTGGAGGAGGTGTGCCAGAGCACGGTTCGGTTGGGCTTTGGCGTGGTACGATTTTAGTGTGAGTACAAAGCGTACCTTAGCCCGAAACTGAAGACATATTGTCACTTTTAAGAGACTGATTCATATGGATTTATTATTTTGATATATTATTATATATTATATTGATATTAATGTATTATGATCATTTATGAGCATCAAAAGTGGTGGATATGGACTCTGGGTAATCCCCAACATGCATGTGTGTCTACTTGTTTATGTGGTTACGAGGACACAAAATGAAATACAGTAATGGCCTATACTGTAGATGTACTTTTTTAAGGTGGTTTACAAGGACATGCCATCTATTCTCTTAATCTAAAATACTTGAAGATTTTTGGCATTCAAATAAAGGGGTTGGGTTTAGAGGTAAGAGTGGGTTATGGCCATAAAATAAATTATTTTTTACAGTACAAAATAGAGTATGCCTAAGCAGAGTCCCTGTAAACCATATATGATATTTGCACGTGTGTTTTTGGGTGAAATAGAGACACACTGGCTATGAGAGCAAGGTAGAGAGAAAAGATGAGACCTCTAAGTATCAGCTGAAGCGCCGATGGCTACCTGTGCCTCAGCTGTTTTTATCTCCTGTCTTTGATTTTCTGTCTGTACATCAGAGACTTCAGAACACACACATACACACACACACACACACACACACACACACACACACACACATGCACGCACACAAATACAGCATTCCCACATGACACCTATCAGACAGACTCTCCAAAAAGTATCCAAAAATCACTATGTCCAATGACGCTTGAGCATTTAGGAACACCCGCACACACTAATGTTTTCTGCATACAAATTCTTTTTTTTTCCATTGTCAAGCAGTGTAACTCCAGCTCACCAAAAACACAAAGGCATGCAGTCTCTTTTTTCTTGTGTGTTGGTTTTATATAGCCGTGCTTTGTCTGTGAGGGTGAAATGTCAGCTTACATTTACATTTATGCATTTAACGGACACTTTAACCTGTAAACATTTAGAGCAGTGGGCTGCCTGGTGTACAGTTGGGGATTTGATGCCTTACAGAAGGAAATTACAGAATGCTAGATATTTTCACTCTCCTACAATCCCTGCTGGAGTCGCAACTTGACCTAAGACCTTTTGATCCTAAGTCCAACTTTCCAACCAAACCATTGTAACTATTAAGGCATCCTGTGGCATCCTCTCTCTCTCTGTATATATAAAAAAAAAAAAATATATATATATATATATATATATATATATATATATATATATATATATATATATATATATATATATATATATATATACCTACATACACTCTACAGTTTGACCAATATTGCTGCTGTTGGAAAACATAATGTACTTTTGAGGCTTTTTTAGTCAAAAAAATATAGTTGTTTAAATTGCAACTATGCCGTTTATTTATAAGGATAATGCCTCTTTTAAAATATTTATAATTTCTGAGAGACAGCGCATCTTTGGCCATTAGCCTGCCATACTGAGCTGACCAAAGATGATTGACGTTGTCTATCCACAACATGACAACAGGACCGCATAATAAGCCCTTAGAGAAAGAAAAATAGAACGGAATTTCTAACTGCAGCTGATCAAATCATCATTAACTGTTAATTGGTATTCTAATTCATTCTCTCTCTTTTTTATGCTATAGTGCTGTATTTATACCATAGTAATTGTAGTGTAATGAGTGTGAGATGGGACTCGCATATTAGGAATGTGTGTTGTATTGGCAGA